TGTATGTATGTATGTATGTATGTATGTATGTATGTATGTATGTATGTATGTATGTATGTATGTATGTATGTATGTATGTATGTATGTATGTATTTTTTCCTAAAGTTGAGTTTGGCTCTCTTTGCCGTTGTGGCTATCTAGGCCTGGTGCCTCAATGTCTCATCGGCTCAGAAGTAGTCTCCGTGCATGTAGACTTCAGCAGCCGGTTCTTCTGTTCGTGCCGGTGTGGTCTGTTCCACAGGCATTGGGGCTTGTTCAAGTTGAGCTGGCTCATCCAGTGCCGTGGGAAAATGCAACCTCCTTGGCGTGGGCCTGCCATGTGGGCCATCAGGGCTTGGGCTAGTCCTGTAGGAGGCAGGTGGCTTGGAGGCTTTTGCCTGTCCACTGGCATCCTCAGACTCCCCTGGCGCAAGTTGGCCTTGCAGGCCTTGCTGTCCTGCTTCGCTTGCCTTGTCTTGTGTGGCCTGCTCAGTTTGTCTGCGAAAGAGCTCCGTGAGTGGCGGTGATCCACTGATGGCTGCTCCCTTGCGTTGTCTGCGTATGGCTCCAGTGAGTATCACCCGGTGTCCACACTGCCTGCAGTTTACTTTCTCCCTTTTTGCGATAGGACGTGACTGGAGTGCCCTTCATGAGGTTGGTTGTAGGCATGGGCTTGTCACGAAAGCCTGGAAGGCCGCTTCATCCTCTTGTGGACACTACATCCGCATCTTTCACAGCGAATGTACTCTGTTGTTTCCTCCAGTCTATGCCTGTCAGTTGGAGGTGTTTCAGCTGCGCTGCTAGGATCTGTTTGATGACTTGTTGTCTTGTCATCTTTCTGGGCAGGGCTTGATGGGGACTGGGCGGCTCCGGCTGGTCTTCAAGGGTGAGCTGTGGGCACTCCTGTTGCATTCTCTCCTCAAGGACTGGGACCCAGAAGTTGCTGCTCCCAGGTCGAGCGGCTGTCAAGCGACAGATAGAGCAACTTCCAGCAACTATGGAACAAATCACGGAGCCACACCGATGTCTAATGACACTCGCCCGATCAGACAGACAGCTAGCAGCCCTGCGGTCACGCAACACCGACCCTCCCTTGAAGGTGCACAAGGAGGTCAAGGAGATGGCCACTCGATGGGCTTTTGCCCCCCTCGACCCTTTTGGTGGCCACTGCGGTGTGGTGCCCATCTGTGCTGTGTTGGTGTCCGTGACTGGGGCTCATTGCCTGGTGCTTCTGGTGTGCGTGTGCTGCGGCAGACATAGAGGACCGTCGCTCTAGTGAAGTCTTGCTCCGTCAGGTGTTCGAGCAAGTCCTGAAAAGGGCCTCTATGCCTCGGTTGGGTCCAGACTTCCCACACAGCTGCCAGCTGGACGATGACTCTCACAGGTGTTACGGTATGTTTGGCCAACGCCACAAGGCCAGCAATGAGAGCCCTGGTTTTGGTGTGGGGCTGGTTGGGGATGCCGGTGAGGGCCCCGAGCCGTTGGAGCTGACCTAGGGCCATGTGATGCGCGCAAAGGCCAAAAACCCAAACCTGGCTGCGCTGGTCGTAGGTGGATGGAGTTCCACCCAATGTGAACGCCCACCCTTGATGTTGATGGGGCCTGAAGATCATGCCATGTACCATGTCCTTGGTACGGTGTTGGATCTGGCGGTGCTCTTGTGGC